TTTATTCCAAGCTTCCATCTCCCCCAATATTCTAGCTTAACTCCTCTCCCAACACCTCTCCCAGTCTATGAGTATGATCTGCCCCACTCTAGCCCTGGAACCTTTTTAAATTAAAAGAACACAAAAGGGAAGAGAGAGCATGAGAATAGACATAAAAATGGAAATGAAAAGGCCAGAGAAAAGACGGTGGTGGGAATTAATGGAGGTAAAGTTAGTTGCCAATAATAATAAAAAATTGAGAATACCTCTTGCACTTTTAATGGGGAAAATAAATGAATGATTCTGAGACACTTTGACTTAAAAGAAATATTGTTTATAACAGAAAGTGGAGAATATGGATATTAACATGGACTGGCTGTCTTAAATAATCTTGTTTTTATGTAACTGGCAGATTGAAAATCAGTAGCCCCTTTTCTCTGTCTCTAATGTTTCTTTTCCCTTCATATTTTGTTCTCTTTTCTTTTCTTGTTCTCTCTCTCTCTTCCCTTTTTTCTTCCTTTCTTTTTACCTTTGGGAGTTTTATGTTTGGGGCCTTTGTTAAGGTCCAGGGATGAAGTATTCATAATATTTTCTCTTAGGGCATTACATGCCGTAAATTTCATACCGGTGGCCCACAACCGTTCCCAGTCAGCAAACAAAATATTATGACCAATGTCTTGTGCCCATTTTATCATTTTTTAAGTTTCTCATAACTCTGCAGTTTCAACCTGTCCCCTTCTTGTTCCAAAATTTCTGAATATCTCTGCCACTTAGCTTCCATATTGAGCTTTTTCACAGCTTTAGCCTCCATTGGCGACAACCACCTAGGAGTCTTACTTTCCAACAAATCTTTGTATCTGGTCCAGACATTAAATAATGCTTTCCTGACAATATGATTTTTAAAACCTTTATGAGCTTTAGCCTTATCATACCACAGATATGCATGCCACCCAAAAGCATTATTAAAACCTTCTAAATCCAAAATGTCTGTGTTCTCAAGAAGTAGCCATTCCTTCAACCAGCAAAAGGCTGCTGCTTCATAATATAACTTAAAGTCCGGCAGGGCAAACCCCCCTCTACTCTTAGTATCAGTAAGAATTTTGTATTTTATTCTGGGCTTTTTGCCCTGCCAGACAAATCTAGAAATTTCTTTTTGCCACTTCTTGAAACAGTCCATCTTGTCAATAATTTGTAACACCTGAAACAAAAACAACATTCTTGGCAATACATTCATTTTGATAACCGCAATTCTACCCAATAAGGAAAGCTTCAAGTTTGTCCAGATTTCAAGATCTTTTTTCACTTCTGACCAACACTTCTCATAATTATCTTTAAATAGATTAACATTTTTTGAAGTCATATTCACCCCTAGGTATTTCACTTTTTTCACCAATAATAAGCCTGTTTCTCCCTGAAACCTTTCCTTCTCAGTCGATGTTAAATTCTTCTCCAAAACCATAGTTTTCGATTTATTCAATTTAAAACCTGCCACCTGACCAAATTCTTGTATTATTTCCAAAGCTCTTTTAGTACTAGGAATTGGCTCCTGTAATGTCAGTACTAGGTCATCTGCATATGCTTTAAGTTTATAATGTTTAACTCCGACCTGTATACCCTGAATCTGTTGGTCCCTTCTAATCATGTTCAGCAAGACCTCCAGGACTGAAATAAAAAGCAGAGGGGAAATTGGGCAGCCTTGTCGTGTCCCTTTCTCTATCTTAACTTCTTCTGTGACTGCATTATTCACTATTAATTTTGCCTTTTGTTCTGAATAAATCGCACCTATACCGTTTCCAAACCTTTCTCCCACCCCCACCCCTTGCAAATTTTTCCTCATAAAACTCCAAGAAATATTGTCAAAGGCTTTCTCCGCATCAATAAATATCAAAACAGCTTTTGTGTTAATATTAACTTGCAATTTTTCCAAAATGTCAATCAAATTCCTCGTATTATTTGACATATATCTGCCTGGAAGAAAGCCAGCTTGGTCTTTATGTATCATTCCAACTAAAACTTTTTTCAATCTTTTAGCCAAAATGTCTGCAAAAATTTTGTAATCCACATTAAGTAGGGATATGGGGCGGTAGTTCTTAAGTTGTGTCTTTTCAGACTCATTTTTCGGTATGAGTGTGATATAGGCCTCTTTCCACGAATCCGGCGCCTTTTCCCCCTCCATAATTTCATTACAAACCTCCATTAACGGTTGGATTAAATAGTCTTTCAAAACTTTGTAGTATTTGGAGGATAGCCCATCCGGGCCTGGAGACTTGCCTAATTGCAAATTCTTTATGGCACCTTCAACCTCCTGTTCAGAAATTTTTCCATTCAATATTAATTTGTTCTCTTGAGATATTTTTTGTAATCCATTTGTTTCTAAAAATTTCTCGATCTTGATCTCATTCTGTGGCCCTTGCGCATACAGTTGTTTAAAATATCTCTGGAAACAGTCTTTAATTTCCTTTGGGTTTTGTATGTTCCTTCCATTTACTTCAAGATTAGTCACAGTGTTTAGTTGTTGTCTTTTCTTCAGCTGCCAAGCTAGCAGCTTTCCACACTTATTCGCCGATTCGAATGTTTTTTGTCTCATCTGTTTAATCTTCCATTGGAGGAGGTTTCTTTAGAGGAACCTGGTCCTCTTGCCTGGAATGAGTTTGAGTTGGGTATTTGGCCTTTCTCACACTCTCAACCCTTGCAACAGGGTTATCTACAATTCTCTGGAAGGACTCTAAGCACACACCTACAACTAATGGCTATTCTTAAGTGGATAGTGAACAGTTAATTCACATACCTGAAAAATGGGTTGTCTGTTGAACTGTGACTTCTCATTCAGACTTCGCATTGGTGTCATAATGTAGCAAGTTTACTAACAGAGTAATATACGGCTCCTATACATGACCCCAAGAACTACAGCAGGACTGCTCCATGTCCATGTGCTTAGCTGGGGCAGGGCAGTGGGGATGTCAGGACTGCATTGAGACATCTGTGGGAGTGTCAGATTGTCTCTGCCATTGCATCCTTACACCTGATACCTCACTGCCCCACAACCATAATCCAGATAAAAGTGATGACACACCCGACCACACTGGCTGCTACTGCTTAAGTCAGAAGCTGGGAACCTCTAGCCTTGAAGCCTCCTGTCTGGCCCTTGCAAGCCTCCTTATGGCACATCCCCTCCCTGAACACATTCCCTCTCCTCAGGCCACATCCCTCTTGCGTCCAGTTTTTACCCTTAAGAATATTTGCCTGACTGCAATGTGTCCTTGAACTATGATAATGTCTCATGTCTGCCTAGATAGGGAGGAAGGGTGTGTGATTGTGTGCAGAAACTAGGGTGGCACACAGGATTCAGTTGAGGCCTGAACTGAATTAGGAGAATTCAAGGCGATCTGGGCCAATTCAAGGAAGCTGGGTTGAGACAGCCCTGGATCGCCACAGGCTGGGTGCCCCAGATTGACCCAGGCTGTCCGGGGGTGGGGTGTCCAATGAGGGAACCGGGGGGGGGCTGGTCGTGCCCCCTCTCAGAAATGTACCCAGGCGTGCTGACATCACACACACACACACACCACATGCACAGCCCCTGGCACCCACAGTCCTGGGGCCTAACCAGCTAGCCTGCTGGGCAGGAAAAAGGTAAAACCATGAAAAGAGAGTACACTAGCCCTGCCCTCAAATTGATCTGGGGCAGGGTGAATGGTGCCCAGGTTGGCCCAGGGGGGGCCCGTCCAAACTAGGGGGCTCAGACTGAGGCTACAGTGTGAATTGGGAGGTGGGGCTGTCCACATTAGTTTCTATGCCCACTTTTGCCTGTAGCCCTGGCTTGTGGCCCTTGGAAGGTTGCCCAGAAGGGAATGTGGCCCTTCAGTTAAACAAAAAGCCCTGGCTTAAGAAGGCAGTGTCCAGGGTATTAACTGTGCCTGATTTAAACAAAGAAGAAATCTCAGTAACATTATGCTGGCATTGTTGGAGGAAAGCTAAGGTGGAGAGAGGCAGGGATCTTGCCTAAGGGCAGCTAACGATTTAATGGCACCAATGAGTTTTGAACTGTGCATCTTCTTATTCAAAGCTCAGTATCTTAGCCCCTGATATCTGGCTTCCTCTCCTGCCCCCTTATGGGCCATGTTGAACACTATCAGATTATCTATGGTATCTGGGAAATCATTTTTAGGCCAATAACTTCTGATGGACGCCTTTTAGGAAATAATGTCAATTATAACCTTGTAGGACTTCGTTATTTCAGTCTATTACCTGCAATGAGTTATTCTCAAACAAGGAGTTCAAATTGATAAAAGGCAAAGGAAAATCAATACTTGAGATTGTTGAGATTAATTGGGACTTTATAATGGATTTCTTTCCCCCTTCTCTTTCCATTGGGACTTCCAATAGCTCCAGCAGGCGGCCCATCCTGAATGTGGATTTAGTGCTGCCAAATATGTGAAGTCAAAACTTGAAGAGATTCATATTTTTCTGCATTAAGATGATGAATATTTCAAAACTGCAGACCTGCCAAGATAAATGGGGCCCAATATGCACACTCACCTGCACACACACTGAGCTTTCTTTACCAATAAAAGAAAAATCAGTAGCTATTCTTCTCACTGGGGGAAAAAAATCTAGTGTTCAGGTCATTGTTAAAAGTGTGTTTATTTTTCTTGCAGAAAGTGCTGTAAGCTCTCATAAATTGCTTTCTGAAGAGTAAGAAATTAGAGAAACTTGGGAGGCTCCAGTGTAACCTCAATTGGCAGCCATTCAATAAGTTGTCAGAGAAGCTTCAGGAAGAAGATAGCAAGCAGCTCTCCTGGACAGTTTTGTTTCCTTGCATTCCATCTTGTCATCTGATCTCAGACATCTCAAGTTGGGGAATCTGGTAATTTTCTCTATAGAAGAATGCTGAGTTTTAGTTGCTCCCCTGCGGATGGCCAGATGCGGCAGTGCTTAGAACCAGGCAATTTGAAAAGCACCATAGACAGTAGAGTCTGCAGCGAAATAAGCACTCCAGCATAAGTTTGCAGTAACATTCTTTTTATTGCTAAAAGAGATATAGCATAAATATCTAAAGGTAAATATAACAGTTTTATACTTTTAATTTATTCCCCCCATTTATAGTTAACCCTATGTTGTAAGTATCCCAGAAGCATTCATTTAAAAAAAACCACCAACAGAATATGCATAAGAAAATAAATATACACAACGTCCCGTGCTTCCAGTTAAAAAAAGCCAGTCACAGGACGGGAACCATTCCTCAGCCATATTGCTAGTGAGCCTGGCATGGTTTCCCTTTTAATATGACTTTGAGATCTTTGCCAGATAGAGGGGTTTTCTTCTTCACATTCAAGTGTCACAGAAGAGAAGTACTGTCTGCATTTCATCCTCAGCTTTGGGTTTTCGGTGTCTGTAACACTTTCTGGGTCGTTTACAAATTTTGGCTTGCAAGTGTTTATTTCACTCCTCTTCCAAAAATATTTTTCACCCAGAGCCAGAGTTCCGCTTAAAAGCTGCAAAGCTGCAGCAAGAAACCCAATATAGATGGCCATTCCAGCACGTTGTTCTGTGGGAATCGGAGGCACTCCCAAAACCTCCGGAAGCGGAATTCCTTCGTTTGATAATACAGAATGAAGATTCCATGCAATGGGAATCAGTACACAAGTACCCGCTGCCAACTCTATCCTTCCTCCAGTTGAAAAGAAGGTATCAATGAAATTTTCATCTTTTCCTGGCTCAAAGATGTTGCATAGAGCAAAGGCCATCCAAAGAACGGTCACCGCATTGGCCACTGAGGCCATTGGCATCAAGTCCTGGGCCACCATGATTTCTGCTGGTAGGGACTCCTCCTCATTGAATGGTATGCATATCATGTTGGTTTTCTTCATAGTAACTCTTCTTACAGAACAGGCACCCCAGATGCCAATGCCCACAATGCCCTGCTGGTTGCTGCCCATGATTTTGTCCACTTGCCATACTCTCCAGTCAAGGTTGGCAGATGTGGAGCAGATGCTCATTAGGCAGCCCAGGACAGCCAGGAGAAAGGCAGCTAGTTGCACGCAGGACACCCTGCACAGCAGGCGGACTGGGAAGGACCCATCATGCGCCTGGGGTGGAAGTTCCGCTTTAGTGCTGGGAAGGCTGGCGATAGAAGGCATGCTGGAGAAAAAGACAGACAAAAGATAACCGTTAGATACTTAGGCACAGTATCATATGGACATCTCCTAAAGTTTGAGCAAATAGTGATGTGCAGCTAAAACAATGTCATCATTCTAGGGCAAATTCTGCATTTCCCACCTTGAGACGTAGGAATGGAAAAGTCTGCTGTACCTTCAATCATAAGTGCCAGGAATCAGAGTTCCCCAGGGGTGAAGAAATTGCACAACCGCACAACCCCTTTTGTTCTAGGGACCCCCTCCATGCAGATAATTGGGCTCTTGTCTAGTCCACTCCTCCTCTGCATTCCTATGCTCCCCTCCCTTCCCTCTCCATTGGTAAAATGTCAGGCATGATCCCACCATAGTTATGCATTCAACCCTTGTAAGAAGAAAGTTGGTGCAACAGACCAATACAGCTACTGTTCAGGAAAGAATCTTTTCCGGCTTAGGTCCTCATTCTCTCTCTCTCTCTCTCTCTCTCTCTCTCTCTCTCTCTCTCTCACACACACACACACACACACACACTGTGAAAAGCCTAACAAGTGGCTCTCAGACAGGACAAAAGGAAATAAAAGTCAATTTGTTCCTATCTGAGAAAACACTGCTCTGTTGGTGGGGAACTGAGGAGCGTTGCATATATACACCTGTGCAAATCAGTTCTTCAACCAGTCTTTTTCCAGAGCGAGGGCTTTTTCCAGGTCTTTCTCTTCCAGCGTCTGATCTAGGAGAGGACCTGAAAAGAGTGAAGCTGGTCTGAGCACCGTAGCAACTGCTCCTTGGAGTTCTGAGGCAGTTAGAATGCAGCTTGCTTTGAACGCTCAGAACACAAATCATAACTCCAGGGTACTGGTCGTTTGGAACATTTGGCAACTGCTTGGAGGCAGTATGCATTTGAATACCAGTGTGATTCTGCAACTTTTAAAAGACACTTTTTTGTTAGATGTAAGCTTATGCAAAGATTGGATACAGAATGTGGAAATAAACACCCCAGCTGCCAGTTCCAAAGGAATGAGAGAGCAAGATTTGAAATAAACCAGGGGTCAGCAACCTTTTTTAGCCATGGGCCGGTCCACCATCCCTCAGACCATGTGGTTGGCCGGACCATACTTTGAAAAGAAACAAAAATGAATGAATTCCTATGCCCCAGAAATAACCCAGAGATACATTTTACATAAAAGCACACATTCTACTCATGTAAAAACACCAGGCAGGCCCCACAAATAACCCAGAGATGCATTTTAAATAAAAGGACACATTCTACTCATGTAAAAACACGCTGATTCCCGGACCGTCTGCAGTCTGGATTGAGAAGGCGATTGGGCCGCATCCGGCTCCCGGGCCTTAGGTTGCCTACCCCCGGTTAAGGTCATATTGAATCCCTTCAGGCCTTCAAAGATGGCGATCAGATTATCAGTTGGAGAGCTGACAGGGTTTTTTGTTTTGTTGGACCCACTTTTTCTATTGAATTGATATTACCATGCTCCATTTGGGAGGGTTTTGCTTGTGATGCAGTTTTAATGGTTTTGTCTTTTTTCATAATTATGTGTTTTATTGCTGTAACACTTATGGTGGGACCTTATAATGAAGACTGGGCAATGTGTGTTTGCATGGGGAACATAATGGATAAGAGCAATCCAAACTATAGGAAGCTGCTGTAATATATGACGGGGAAAATGATGCTGCTGTAACTTACCTCTGTTTCAAACTCCATTGAGGAATGGGGCTACTGCTGGACGGGCCAACTTGAGCCTGACGGAGAGAAAACAACCATTACACCACTCATTTTGTGAGTGTATCTTCCAATGGGTTACCAGGTCATGTGCCTGAGCTGAGCAGAGTTTGGAATAGGGGCAAGTTCCCCCCTCCCCATTTCCACCTTCACCTTCCCAGAGCACCTCTTTTGGGGGACTTACCCAAGCCTTAGTCTTATGCCACATGAATGTGTTTCATCCCCTTTCAAAGACAACTAAGAGGATGGCCACCAAAAGCAGTTTCTGACATCCATGTAGTTATCCCAGCCCGTTCCTCATCTTTAAAATTGGGCTATTGATCATGAATAAGATGAAAGTCGCCCAAGGATTAAGAACTTCTGGGAGATGATTTATAATGAAATGAAAAAGGTATTTAAATATACCTTCCTGAAGAAACCAGAGGCCTTTCTCCTGGGCATGGTCGGCCAATTGGTGCCAAAGAAGGATAGAACTTTTTTTATGTATGCTACAACAGCAGCAAGAATACTTATCGCAAAGCATTGGAAGACACAAGATCTACCCACCCGGGAAGAATGGCAGATGAAGCTGATGGACTATATGGAACTGGCAGAAATGACCGGCAGAATCCGAGACCAGGGAGAAGAGTCGGTGGAAGAAGATTGGAAAAAATTTAAAGTATATTTACAGAAATATTGTAAAAGTAATGAATGTTAGAAGGATGCTGGAACGAAGTTATATGGCTTTAGCAGAAATGTTATAAAGAATTAAGTAAAAATAGACTGTTAATGGACCAAAGTGGAAAATTTAAGGTTAGACTGCCTTAAGATAAATTTTAGAACGAAAATTGAGAAAGATGGAAAGGACTAGCTGAAATAGCTAATTGAACTAGAATACAAAAAAGGGAGGTGTGAGGAGGTCGATGAAACAAGTATATGAAAGGTAAAGATATGGAAAGGTTGGATGTGTTTTTAAATGTTTTTGCTGTTGTTTTTTTCTTTTTTCGCTGTTCTACTGTATTGTTTTTTGTTTTTTGTTTTCTCTCTATTTTTTTGGATGTACTGTTAGGTATTGTTTTGTTTTGTTTAATTTTCTATTGTTCTTTTTTCTTTTTCTGTAACTTTCAAACCCCTAATAAATATCATTTAAAAAAAATGAATAAGATGAAAGTCTTCTAAAGTATCTAGTACAATGAAAACTGCTACTTAAATGATTTTGAGGATATGTTGCACTCCAGAGTCACTAGCTAGATCAGAAACTTCACATTTCTCAGGAACTTTGGGACAGATGCAGTCTTGATGCAGCCCCTTCTTAATCTATTAGTTTCCGCTAAAGCTGCCAGCATAGACTCCAGGTTGAATCAGTTGATCAGATTTATCACCTCAGAGGACAAATCAGGTAAGGGGCTGTCTCTCTAAGGACCTCTTCAGTGAAGATTGATGCAAACAGTTCATTTAGTTCTTCTCCAAAATCATTATCCTTCTCAATTGATCCTGTTCCCATTCTGCGTTTTGGAGGGACTCAACGGATTCTTTGGCCCACTCCCACTTCCAGCACATTCATTCCCATTATTATCAGCTTTCCAGTCTTGAGCCACACAGGCAATTTCACTTCACCCTGCTCTTGCCTGAATAATGTCTGAATTAACCCTAAGAGCTCACCATTCTCTTTTGGAATGTTTGAAAGTATCGGATTGGACAACAAATCTCTCTCGTTCCCCCCCCCCCCCGCGCCCAGTTCCTTCCCTTTGAATGATATGAATTCTACCAGGGTGCTAACTTGAATAAAATATCGGGGGGGGGGGGAGGTAAACAGCAATCCACATAATCAGTCACATGATGCAGTGCACGTGCAACATTTGAATGGCAATGCCCACCAACTGGCTCCTATGAATTCCACATTGCAATCCTCTTTCTACCTTCATCTCCATGCAGTGAGTGAATGTAGACCCAGCTCCTGACCTTTGCATGTTAAGTTGAAGGTGGGAATGGGCTCTGTGCGCATACAGTGATGCAACAGGCACACTCCCCTTCCATTGAACTTGTGGCAGTCAGGTGGGGAGAACCGATTGGTGTGATTCTGCTCTTCCTGCCGTGCATTCACTCAATGCAAGGAGTCAAGAGTTGAGTTCGGTTGTAGGCCATGTGGAAACACCATAACAATTTTGAAGAAGGGTACACAGAGGTTTATTTGAAATGAGTCACATATTGAAAGTATGCATATGGAGAAACTGCATGGCTTGAGCCTGCACCTACTTACCGCATTTTTCGCTCCACAAGATGCACCTGACCATAAGACACACCTAGTTTTTAGAGGAGAAAAACAAGAAAAAAAATATTCAGAACAAAACAGTGGATGTATGATTTTCTGGTTCATGCTGTGGCCACAGACATTTGGGATGCATTTGGTGCATTTGGGGTGACCAATGCAAAATCCTGAAGGTCCATGTGGATCCGTGCTTTGTAACCATGTTTTTTGCGCCATTGCAGCCCCATGCAACAGTGGGTGTGTGATTTGGGATGACCCAATGTAAAAATCCTGCGGATCCATGGGCTTTTCCCTCCCCCCTCCCAGGCAGCCTCCGCTAGCCTGCTTATCTCTCTTCCGATCCCACCGATCAGCTCTTTCCTTTCAACACTCCCTTCCCCTTAGTGTCTTTTCCTTAGCTGGATCAGTTTTTTGTTCCTCCTTTTCTTCTCATTTCTCTCCTTATTACTTTAGTCTTCCTGGTCCCCCCCTTTGCAAGTTTGCTGTCTTTACCTCCCCGCTCCCAGGCAGCCTACTTTATATCTAGTGTCCCTTATCTCTCTCCCCGATTGGCAAACGATCAGCAGCTTTGTTTCAACGCCCACTTCCCTCTTTTTAAAACAAAAACAGCATGACCTGCTTTTTACCCCTGGGCAATTTGGCTCCAGGGACCATGCATAAGACGCACAGACATTTCCCCTTACTTTTTAGGAAGAAAAAAGTGCCTCTTATGGAGCAAAAAATATGGTATATGCCACCAGCCTTTGAACCACAGCTGTGCATTCAGTGACCAAGAGAAAGGGTTTAAAGGGCTTAATTCTGTATACATGTACATGTAGCTCCTCCATGTGCAAATCAGGAGGCGTTTTAACATGTCAGGAATTCCACACAACAACACTGGTTTGCAGAGACCCTTTTCATCATCACCAAACATGCAGCTGGTGGGTTGTGTAACCTGTAGGAGCTCAGGGGCATTTATTACAAGTTTAAAGGAACCTGCCTCATCTAAAATCTTGAAAGATCTAATCATGTTAACAGTACAGTCATACCTCAGGTTGAATGTGCTTCAGGTTGAGCGCTTTTGGGTTGCGCTCCGTGGCAACCCAGAAGTAACGGAGTGCGTTACTTCCGGGTTTCACCACACACGCATGCGCTCAAAATGACATCACGCGCATGCGCGGAAGCGGCAAAACGTGACCCGCGCACGCGCAGATGCACCGTCACGTCTTACGTTCCATTCAGGATGCGAACAGGGCTCTGGAACAGATCCCATTTCGCATCCCGAGGTACCACTGTAATTGGGAGAATCATAGTAATAGAATCATGGAGTTACCCTTATCATTGATTGCATTCTGATTGTTTTTATTTTCTCTATATACATACATACGTCATTGATAATTTATTGTTTTGATGCATTTACATTATTAATCTAAGCATATTAGCATGTCTTTTTTCGAGCAATATTTTGTCATATAATCATCAAAGAATTGCCATTTTAGTTTTTGATTTGACTGCTGTCGTATGGATGCTGTTAATTTAGCCAATTTTAAACATTCATTTAATTTGAGAATCCATTCCTCCTTGGTAGGTAGTTCTTTAGCTTTCCATTTAGATGCGATTACTATCCTAGCTGCAGTGGTCGCATATAAGAAATTCTCTTTAAAAAGAAAAAGAAAATTTTGCTTGTCTGTTTTCAACACCACAGTAGACATGCTTCCCCACAGGATGCTTCTGGAAGAGCCAGCGCTTTGATCTGTATTCCATTCTGGTTCTGCACTTCTCCCTAGAAGCGGGGACCACAGCAGACTGAAAAACAGCACACATCTGACTGTACGTGGGGTGCTGTCCACCATTCCCAATTCCCCTGCAAAAAAGTGCTGTCTAGGTGCCTGTGTTGAACAAACAAATAGAAGTTTATATAAGCCATTGGAAATTTAGACCAATATTATATCAAGGGTGAGCTATAGAGTTTCCACACAAGAGGGCTCCAGAGGCACATTGTTTAATGAACACTTTGTGCTTTATTGGAAGTTGGAGACATAAATTGTAAACCTCTTGCTTCAACCGGCTAAGAAGAATTCAGGGCCAAGCTAGATAAGACGCAGAAAAACATTCACACACCGTGCATACTCATCTGTCTAAAAGCAACTGTGAATTTGATCAGAGTAACTGTTGGGGACAGTCATTTTTTCCTGATGTGGCAGCTGCTTCCCTGCTCACCACCCTGCTAGATTCCTTAAATCATCATATTATATTTGAATACAGGAGTTGGGAGCTGGGGGCACTGTTACGCAGCAGTTCCACTCCTTCCTCCTGGGTCAGGTCCAGAAAGAGGTGAGTGTTCGGAACCCGGGGCGCTCACCTCTGGGGTGTCTCAAGGTTCTGTCCTCTCCCCCATTGTTTTTAATATCTATATGAAGCTTATGGGAGAGATCATCAGGAGCTTTGTGCTGGGTGTTCACCAGTATGCGGAAGATATCCAGCTCTACCTCTCATTTAAATCGGAACCAGAGAAGGCGGAGAATGGGCGGGGTATAAATGATAAATTATTATTATAATAATTATAATGGATCCAGTTGGATGATGGATGGCAGTTAATTGATTGAGGTTGAATCCGAACAAGATAGAAGTACTGTTCTTGGGGGGAAGGGTGTGGGTAAGTGTGGGGTCCTGAATGGGGTAACTGTGCCCCTGAAAGTCCAGGTGCGCAGCCTGGGAGTCATTCTGGACTCACAGCTGTCCATTAGGTGCAGGTCAATTCTGTGACCAGGGCAGCTGTCTACCAGCTCCATATGGTATGCAGGCTGAGACCCTACCTACCTGCAGACTGTCTTGCCAGAGTGGGGCATGCTCTAGTTATCACCCGCTTGGAGTACTGCAATGTGCTCTACGTGGGGCTACCTTTGAAGGTAATAATAATAATAATAATAATAATAATAATAATAATAATAATAAATACCCCGCCCATCTGGGTTTCCCCAGCCACTCTGCGTGGCTCCCAACAGAATATTAAAAACACAACAAAAGATCAACTATTAAAAACTTCCCTAAACAGGGCTGCCTTCAGATGTCTTCTAAAAGTCAGATAGTTGTTTATCTCCTTGACATCTGATGGTAGGGTGTTCCACAGGGTGGGCACCACTACCAAGAAAACCCTCTGCCTGGTTCCCTGTAACCTCACTTGTTGCAGGGAGGGAACCGCCAGAAGGCCCTTGGCACTGGACCTCAGTGTCTGGGCAGAACAATGGGGGTGGAGAAGCTCCTTCAGGTCTAATGGCCCGAGGCTGTTTAGGGCTTTAAAGGTCTGCACCAACACTTTGAATTGTGCTCAGAAACATACTGGGAACCAATGTAGGTCTTTCAGGATCTGTGTTATATGGTCTCGGCGGCCACTCCAGTCACCAGGGATTGACTTTAAAGCACGTGAATTCCCACAAAGAATCTTGAGAACTGTAGCTGACTCTTTACAGAGCAACGATTCCCATCACCATTGACAAACAACAGTTTCTAAGATTCTTTGAGGGAAGCCAGGACTGGTAAAGCGGACAGAGTGCTTTCAATCTATGGCATAGATGAGGCCACAGTTTCAGAGCAGCCAAACAGGGCTAATGTAAATGGAATAATGTGGTGGCTATTATTCTCTCACCATTTGAGATGAATTTTATGAAAGATGGATTGTTTAACGTTGAAAAGGTTGTTTGGCATTCTGGGTAATTCCTCTGACATATTTATGGACATATTATTTATAGAGATCTATACAGGGTTTGTATTGTTCCTTGGTTCTAGATATTATTGGGCAATTTAGCAGTCTGGGGAGAAGGGAAACACTCTTGATTGATGACATTGAAAGTTAAGGATGTCAGCAAGTCCTTCAAGAAATGGTCCCCAAGCACCTGTTCACTGTAACTTATGTCTTCAGCACACAGCACTTTGATTAAAACCTCTCATCACAGTAAATCAATTGCATCTCAAAGAAAGATGGGAAACTCCCTCCCAAACTAGAGGGACAAATCAATTATTCTCCCTTTTTGCATATTCAGATTCCATCTACATATACACAGCAATATTATTCTGTGGAGATAATTAAAATACTGAAGGTAGTGGGAGCCGGGTGGCCGCTTATGCATCACCAAAAGAGGGAAGATGCATCATTAAATAAGAGGGCACAGATTCTTGCATCTACAGTTTAAAAAGAAAGAGATGCAAATTAATAAATAATTAACTGGATTCAGAAAATCTAAGTTACTACCAGTCAGTTGCTAATCTCTCCTTTCTGCCAAGCTGGGATTCAAGGTGGCTTACAACATTTAAAAACATCAGTTATAAAATAATAACTAACAAAAACAAACTACTTAAAAACAATACTTTAAATACATCACAGTATATCTAAAACCAGCAATTAAAATAGTATTTGTACTGAAAGCAGCCCAGTCGTCAGCATCATTTGCATCTTCGTTTCCCAATGCAAATATTCTCCATATATTGGACACAGTCAGGCTGAAAGTGATTAGGGGGCTCAAAGTCACCTTTGCACAAAAACTAAAAGGGGGAGCAGAAAGAGCCAAAAATATAAACAGAAAGGGCCAAAAATATAAACAGTCCAATCCTGTATGCTTATACCGCAAAGACTTGTTGAGTTCAATGGTTTACTCTCAAGTAAGCATGCAAAAGATTTGGAATGCAGCCATCAAGCCCAGCCCTGTAAATTTGCCTGTGAGCAAAACCTTACCTACAGCATGAGTAACTTCAATGTAAATCTGCATATGTGATTTGGGATGGGCTTTAACAACCAAATAAATGGTGGTGGATGAGAAATAAAAACAAAATAAAAACATCAATTTGTTTAAGTGTGTGCTTGCGCAAACAAGCACCCTTGGGAACTGTGGTGGTGATAGAGGAGGCATAGCAAGAATTCCTGGTGGAATCAAAGAGAAAAAAGAAGTAGCAGTGGCACAGTTGAAGTTGAAGTCACTGATGATGATGCTTCTTGAAGGTTTCCTGGTGAGGGTGCCTTTTAAGCCAGGAAGGGAAGGAATAGCACAGAGCCAGAGGATCTTTCTACAGAAGTGTAAGCTGAGAGAGGAGGGGCTTGCCTGGCTTGGGGCAGGAGGGCTCTGCAGGGTCCTAGGCTTTGAGAAGGAACCCTCACATCTTCCCAGATGCCACTGCGGCAGCCCCCACAATCCAGGCGCCCAGGATGAAGACAAAACCCTGTGGTGCCTGTAGAGAAAGAAGGACTGCCATGGCCAAAAAAGTCCCCCACCCCCTGCCAAGGCAGTTTTCTATTCCTGTGGTCTTTTTAGACTCTTAAAGTTTACAAACTTGTCCCCCCCCCAAAAAAAGTGCTCCTAAAGTACATGCTCCTGAGGCAATCTCCCTGGCTGTACCCCCCACAACACTCTCCTGGTGCTAAAAAGTTTGGTCAGTAACCAGCCCTGCATTATTTCTCTCCCAGTCTATCTATCCTTGATGGATGATGTGGTGGCCTTGTATCAAGTGAGACCACTGGTAGGTCCAGCTTAGCATAGCCCACCCTGACTGGAAGCAGATCTCCAAGGCTGAGATGTGGGACATTCCTGGCCCTCCCCGGGGATGCTGAGGACTGAACCTGGGACATTCTGCATGCAAATAGATGTGGTACCACTGAGCTTATGGCTGATTCTTGGGGAGTACTTGGGTTTTCATAGAAGTTTGAATGTTTCCAAGGAGTGGATTGGTGAAGGGCAAGAAGAGAAGTGGGCTTCTGGCTTTAGTTTGGCTACAGTGATATGGACTGCTATAATGATATAGGTCCTAAGAAGTTGAGAGCCACACAACCCTGAATTGACTCCTCCATCTACTTTTGAGCTTTCTGCATTGCAGCTCCCTGCATGTTTCCATTTTCCCCTCAAGACCCTTGAGGACTAGATGCTTTCTTTGTCTTTTAAAGAAAAGACAGTTGAACTTCTACGGTGATTAGATTCTCCATTGTGCAGCAGCGTACACACGGTCCTGGGTGTTGTGTGAGTCACCAAGGAGATGATGAGCATTTTGACTGCACAGTTTTTAATACCCCCTGCTGTCTCTCATTAAACCTCTGTAGACATAACAAATTTGCACTCTGACTCAGCCTAGCAGTGCCTTGCTCCCTTTATGATAAAGTGGTGCTCTACCTTTTGCTGGGAACTTACGTGCATCCTCTTTGTGCACACCTGTCCTCGTGAGTGAGTCTCTTGACTTGCCGCGCTGAATGCTAATGACAGCTGTGCCTTGGTAAAAAGGGGGCCTCTTCATTACTGCATGCTGTCAGTGCTTTGTTGGTAGCTATGGAAATGGCGCCTTCTGCTCCTCCATTCGTTCCCTTTCATAGTTGAGCACTGGAAATAGAACCATGGGGGTAAACACAGCTGATGAACAGACATGTCGCTGAAGATGCAGACTGCAATATTTCTTCAGCCTCCTGCAAGGAGGAAATGCTGCAGCTGCCATTCGCAGGTGGAGAATTCTGAAGTGGTGGGGAAGGGGAAATGAGGAGGACCATGGGCCGCAGCTTGGCAAACGAGCTCATGCTTTGCACATATACAGTGCCAGGTCAGCTAGAGTGGGTCCTAAAATATGTATGTCTCACACTTAGTGAGTAGTCTGATTCAGGAGGGCAGCTTCCATGTGTTGCAGTGAATGTTAGTTTTACATATTTGTGTAATTATTTCATGTGTTTATATTTACTTATGAAAGTAGAATGGGGTATTGGGTTGTTTTTGTATTTGTTTTGATTGTGCATTTCATGTTTTTATGTTGTGATTTTATCCTGTGAACTGCCCTGAGACCTGTGGGTATAGGGAGGTATACAAATTTAATAAACAATCATAATAATGTAAACCGCCCCCCCAAAAGGTCTCTGGCACCACTTCCCCCATTAAAGCCAGTTGAGGAGATGAAAGGTATTCAGTTTATTGAGAGATGCATCAATCAAGACACAGGGTAATTTTCACAAAGCCTGTGTGCTAAGCGTTGGGGGAAGCAGATACTTCTACACATTGCAAAAATACCTGGGTTTGTGCCCGATCCCTATAAGCCTCCCTAATTGGTTAGAGTCCTGCATGGACAAACATGCTAAGCTCTCATTGGTCTTCTCCCCATTTTGTGGAGATTCTTGTGCTTTTTCCTTCCTTGTATTTGCAGTTTCATATATGATTTTGGCAAGCGCTCTAGCTTCCTGTTATACCTTGTAGTTTACATTACCTAAGTGCTTTCCAGACCCTAAAGGTCACATTTACAGTATTTTGCTAAGCTGGTAGATTCTTATCTCTATTACTGGAGCTATCTGCAAATTAATGCAAGCATAGCAAGGCTTCTGTTATACCATAAGGGAAGGGGGCAGTTACAGAACTTCGTAATAGAAACATCCTGGTGATAATGATTGTACACTCATGTCCACCTAGCCCTGAATCCGTTGTGGGCTGGCTACCATTAACAATAAAGATTTATATATTGTCAACTCTTTCAATATAACAAGGATATATACAGCAATATATACAATAAAACGTAAAGCACCATGAGAATGGTACAAAATGATCTTTAAAATGGCTGATCAAAAAGCTTAAACGGTTGCAGAGGGCCTGCTAAAGTTATTCAGGCCCAACTTTTAAGTGTTGAGTCACTCTGACGTGTGACTTAGCAGCCATTTTCTGTGTGTTCTCTGCAAGATTTCAATCAGAGTCAGGCTGCCTCAGTTGTGAGCAGTATATAATCTCAGTCAAACTGTGTGGAACCATGTTGTTTATGAAGAAGTTTATTTTAACTCAGTAAAGCGCTTATTCTTTAAAATTCTGCATTATTAATTTTCGCTGCGCGTCAGACTGTTGATGGAGACAATTGCCCGCTCATAATTCCAGCGCTCAAAAGCCTGCAGTGGTTGTCCATATGCTGCCAGGCCAGAGTCAAGGTGCTTGCATTAATTTGCAAGGCCCTTAACAACTTGGGTGCAGGATATCTCAGGGACCACCTGATCCCTTATACTGAAGAAAGACAGTCAGTTAGGATTACCCCCAAAACCCCAAAAACTGTTTTGTGAACACCCCCCCCCCAGCCAGGCCTCAAAGCCTCGCCTCAAGCATTTTTAAAAGTGCATTTCTCTAAGACAAAAAGCATTAGCTAAGCATTCCTCTTGCTGTAACTAAAAGACTGCAACAAAGGCAGGGAACAGAGTCCATTGTTTTCTCAGAGCCTTTGGCCTTGCTTAAAAACCAGATTGCAGCTTCCTTTCTGTCCGGGAGCCATGCCAAAGCACGAGAATGAAACGTAACTGGAACACTCTGAAACCCCCTTGGTTTCTCAGCCCCTTTCCTGGGAAGAGTCCAAAAATGGTCCCAAGACAGGAGCTTTCTGTTCATGCTCAGAGGAACTCATGGGCAGGACTCTTGAAGAAGGAGGAGAAAGGGGGAGGGAACTGGAAGGGGATGGCTGTGAACTTCGTGCTTGTTTTGTGACTCTATCACACTTGCTCCTCTGACCCCCCCCCCCCATGGCAGAATAAAAGCTCTTTCTCTGGATTTAACCCCTTGGTGTCGTTTGGCTCCTTTCGTCCCTGCTCGAGTGTAGCATTTTCCTATCTATTTTAAAGGGCCTAGAAAGGCTACAATATCCCTCCTTGATCACGATGGTCTTCCAGGGAGCCACTGTTAGCAGCGGCGTAGCGTGGGTTGTCAGCACCCAGGGCAAGGCAAGTAATTTGCGCCCCCTAACCCGTGGATTTGCGCCCCCTAACCCGTGGATTTGCGCCCCCTAACCTGTGGATTTGCGCCCCCTAACCCGTGGATTTGCCCTAACCCCAGATGTTGCGCCCGGTGCGGCCGGCCCCCCCTGACCCCCCACGCTACACCACTGACTGTTAGTGGTCCCCCAGGGCTCGGGGGGATGGCTCTGACCCACCAGGAGCTAGCTGTTCATTCAGTATTGCAGGCCTAATTTTGTGTAACTCCCTTTCAGTTGGGATCAAATAGGCCCTCTCTCTGTTGAACTTCCAGCACTTATTGAGGACTGTTTTTTTTTAAAAAAACAAACAGAAGGTTTTAAATATTGAGTTCTGATTTTACATTTTAAATTCATTTTTACCCTTATTGCATTGGGTTTTCCTGTACACCAGTGCTTCGTAAGCTATCTGATGTGGTATGCTGTCAACCCCCCCCCTCTAATGTGCCAGGAACTGGTAGAGCCATTGGGGACCAGTGGCCAATGGCTTGTGGACCGCCACTGGTCCATGGACCACCACTTGGAGTAGCTCTGCTGCAGCCCACTGGGAGATGGCCTTGATTAAGCTGTATACAAACTGTTGAAACATACAAAGAAAATAAATAAAAAACTTCCTCATTTTGACTGTATGGCTTTTAATTGAGAAACTGGCTGAGTTACTAGCATGAATCTCAGTTTGGGCCAAAACACCATTTCCCCCAAACCACCCCCACCTGCCTCACAACTGGTGGGAAATAACCCAATGAATATAAGCAAGCCTATCCAGACATGTAAATTTGATGTATATTTTAGTATGTGGGTGTACTTTATTTAAAAGCAACATTCCTGCTGTATATTATTTATAGTTTGAATTTTTAATGGCAGACTTAAGGTATATTTTATATTTTATGTAAGCTGCTGAGAGGTCAGGTGTGGGATACGTGGAAATACGGCTGCCAACTAACTGGCACTGCTGGTGCAACACTCTTCTTTAGCGGCAATCAGAGCACTTGTTTAAATATTGAATTATCTGTTCAGCAGCTTACCACACAGTCAATTATCTCTCGTTATAGGCCTTTTGTTTTCAGCCATCATTGTTTGGCTCTTCTTTAATTTCTCTCTGGAGCAATTAGACACTCAGTGTTTTCGAGTTCTGTGGCTGCTGGATTCTTGCCCATCCTGCTTTCTGCAGTGGCCCACAAACATTTAATTGGGCAAGACGTTCACTTCCGCAGATTCCATTGTGCTCCTGATGGCTTTGGAAGGCCACTTGTCCCTTAAGAGCTGGCTCACTCGTTCATGCCTTGGTCAAAGGATTGGCCATTTGGTCAGAAAACTTCAGATTCCACCCAAATGCACACTATCCAACCAGTGCTATTTTTCTAGAAAAGAGATGCCAGAATTCACCATGAATGCCTCCCTTCTTCTCTTATAATAGCAATGGCATCCACCTGAGAGGAGCCAGAACTGAGTTCCAATGAGCGTCCAAATCAGCCACAAGTTTCCAAATTATCTTCAAGGGCAGCCCCACAGAGCACATTGCAGTAAGGTAGTCAGTTAGTCAAATAAATTGAACCCCGTAACATTTTTGACTCTAGATCACTGGTTGGGAACTTCAAGCCTGGGGTCTTACTGTGCCCCTCCAGGACTCTCTGTCTAGGCCTTGGGGTTTTCTGTAGACCTTGCCCCTTTCTAGGCCACACCCCACCCTGACATTATTCCGTGCCCTCTTCAAATGCGTTTGCCTTGGTTGAAATATGTCACTGAATTGTCATAATGCCTCTTGATTGCCTTCATTGCTTCATTGGGAATCTGGGACAAGAGACATAGGTACAGGAACCACTGGCTTGTCATGGCTGGAATGTAGCCTACTGCACAAAGGTAATTCCCTATAAACAGAAAATGGCTGCCCACCTTTTCTCTAATCTAGATAATATGGCCCTCATGATAAATATTTTTGTATGCAGTTTTGACTAATATGCTAATTGTGGCAAACAATTTCCCAAAATGCGATGTTTTTTGCATGTTATTTTATCTCAGGTTACATACGCTTCAGGTTACAGACTCCACTAACCCAGAAATATTACCTCGGGTTAAGAACTTTGCTTCAGGATGAGAACAGAAATCGTGCTCCGGTGGCGCGGCAGCAGCAGGAGGCCCCATTAGCTAAAGTGGTGCTTCAGGTTAAGAACAGTTTCAGGTCAAGTACGGACCTCCAGAACGAATTAAGTACTTAACCTGAGGTACCACTGTACAAGCTTTTACATGCACATGTTATACTAGTATATACATTTTTTTTTGGTACAGATGACTGCACTGCAAGATTTAGAGAAATGTGAATTTTAAATCATATTTGTGTTTTGGTTTGCATATTTTTTTTTTGAAGTGTGAATTAGGTAGGTTCACCTTTAAATGAGAACCAAATCAAATTTCTCCCCTGTCCCTATCTGGAAGGCATTCCTGCTTCCTATCATTTTCCTAACCTACCCGTGCAATAATATAACTTTGAGGTGATCCAAGACTCCACAATGCTGTTTAAAGTTCAGAGCTGTTTATACTCTGTGCATTCCCAAGAGCATCACCTCCTTCTAGATCTCTCAGCAGGGGCCTGTTCTTCACAGACATGATGAATATTCAGCATTCGTTCCAAATAATGGTCGCTATACCTTTAAGCCTGGCAACAGCACTCTCAGAATTTCAAATGGCACATCAATAGGAAGTAGCTGATTAGAATTCTAAGGATGTGGGCTTCTTTGAAGAGGTAGTTTGGTATTGTAGTGGCTGTCATGTGAATGGGGGAAAGGAGATGGAATAGATGTGTTATCCTACACCACTCCCTGAACCACTGAATGTTTCATCAATAGGGTACCATGCAGGTGCCCTACTGGATTACCAAATAGGCAGAGTTGGCATCAACCTATGGGCCTTTTAGGGGACTCGCGACAATGGATCAAAATAATATTGATTTGATCTTGAAATAAAATTACAAAAGCCCATTAGGAGATAATTGGCAAGCTGCCTAGGGGCCTCCACAGGGTTTAATCTGGCAGAGGTCCATGGGAAGTCAAGGGGGATAGTTGCTCCCCTAAATGAACCATAATTCTCAGGATCACAGATTTCTTTTTTAAAAAGCAGACGTTTCTAGCATTTGTAGAATGTGAGACAAAATGGAACAGCAGAGGGGAGAGCAGCATTGAGCCAAGGTGAATGCCCTACGACAGAGGTTGGCATGGTTTACCTCGCCTGGGCCGGTTCACTCCAGCGGAGATCTCTCCGTGGGTCGGATTGCGCTCACACAGGAACGCTCCTGCAATTTCTGGCGTCCACGCAGACGCGATTTCCGGCATCTGTGCATGCGCAGACGCGATTTCCAGTACCATGGAAGTGAGTTCCTGCGCCACGCTTTGCCGGTTTAGCACAGCTCACGGGGGCTCATTGAGCGGGTGGCTCGGTTCAGGGGTGGCTCAGGGACCTTAGGTTGCCTACCCCTGCCCTTCGATATTTAGGCACATCCAGATTGCTTAGATACTCCATAAGCGTTGAGAGATACCTGCTGCAATCGTTGACAATAAAAGACGGGGACGTATCCAGATCCATTTGGCGTTCTGTGTCTGTGATACACTGTTTGATGGCTGACTTAGCCTGCTCAAACCCCATTCTGAGCAATTCTTCAAGGGAAAACCCCAGAGCTAGAATTTAGGTCATAACTGCCTGTTACCATGCAGATTCTTCCTTGAGAACAAGGGGAGCAAGCCCAGTAGGAAAAAATGAGAATCTTAGCCAATAGTTGAATATAGACATCCATATTCTGGCCTCTATGCTCAAGAGACCTGCCTCCAGCCTCAAGATTACATTGGTGACACATTTAGGGACCTGAAAGATTGATCTTAGAAATTTAGATTGGATGCACTCCAGCAATGTCAAATTTGGAAAGGGACCTAGCTGGGCACCATATAAGAGTTGGGCAACAGACTTTACTTCAAATAATCTCAATGCTGCCAGTATATAATGGCCTCCTTTAGATCTGAAGAATTTTTGTTTATCCATTGAGCTCCTCTGAGCACTGCTAGTAGCATAGTCTCCATGCGCTTTCCTGCTTCCTGAGGCATGAAAGACTATACCCAGGTATTTGAAGCAGGAGACCTGATCTACTTGGTTGTTTTGTTGTTGTTGTTTAGTCGTGTCCGACTCTTCGTGACCCCATGGACCAGAGCACGCCAGGCACTTCTGTCTTCCACTGCCTCTCACAGTTTGGTCAAACATACTTTATACTTTATGTCCATCTATAGTCCAGCAGTGTTCCCTTGGGTTGTTGTTTTTTAAAACCCATGTCATAATTTTAGTTTTCTGGTGATTGAGCACTTAGATGGTCTTCTTTGCAGAAAAGAGATAAAGCTCTCAGCATTCTTTTAAGGCCAATGGGAGCTCTTGACAGTATGGAAGCATCAACTGCTTAGAGCAGGACAGTGATGTCTCTTCCAGCTAGTTTTTTGGGGTGGAAATTAGTGTTGTGAAGAAAATCCACCATAGAATTGATACAAAATTGAACAGAAGTGGAGCCAGTATGCAGCCTTGTTTAACTCCCTTTGCAGTTTTGATTGCTCTAGTAAGATGACCCTGAGGAGTATGTATCTTACTTTTAAGAGAAGTCCCTTCACGCAGCATTCAAATTAGGTAGAGGGAGGCCAGTGTAGGAGCCCAGAAGTCCAGATTGTTTTTAATAACTTCTGGTGGGATCAAGTCCTCTCTAGGGCGTTCCCATGTTTTAATTGGGCTACAAGTCTATTGATTTCAGACACAGATACGGGCGGCCATGTTAGACGATGGTCTATAAGGAGGCCAGAATCTTTTTTTCCAGAGTTATTTTTCCAAGCATATCATATTAAAATAATTTATCTGGGCTGCTGGGTTTGAAATCTAACAATAATTTGATTATGATACTGATGAATTCCTAGATGGCTCTTCAATTTCCAGGATGGTTTACAAATAGAATAATGCATGGCAATATTTGGTAAAGAAATATAAAGTCAAAGGCAACAAAAAGTGGTTAAAAGCAGCAGAAAAACAGACCTTAAAAAAAATTTAAATGCATCGTGAATTTTAAACAACAGCCCAGTCATAAATATGAAATAAACAATCCAATCATAAATATGAAATAAAATATAATGTATTTTAAATACTGTACAAAAATTCCAGGCAATATCAGTCTGACACTAACCACAATACCACACTGGTTACCACTGGTTGCCATCGACCTTCCCTTGGGTGGCAGTGGGGTGACTCAGGGGAGCACATTGGTAGATGGTGGCAATGCATGGGCAGATGGATACAGGAGCAGATGTTTCTCCAGGTACCTGGAACCCCAAGGCACATGATGCTTAATAGTTAAGCACAAGCACGCTGAATTGAGTTGGGTATGGGTTGGGATCCAACAAAGTTCTTTCAACACCAGCAAGGCATTACCCCAATGGTCAGTTCCAGTTAGTACTCTAATGTTTCCATCCATCCAATAGTGTCTTGTTCTTCTAGTTCAATGTCCTGAGAAAATTGATTTCTTTCCAAGCTGGACCATTCTAGGCTGACACCTAGGCTGGGCTGATGCCACAACAGGCACCATTTCACTTGTAGCCTGACAGGACAGCAATATTGTCTGAAGCCTCCATATGTCTGCATTGCATTGGATTAATGTGTGACTTCCACTTTCAAATGTGATGCACTCAAGCAATTACAGTGGTACCTCGGGTTACATACGCTTCAGGTTACATACGCTTCAGGTTACAGACTCCGCTAACCCAGAAATAGTGCTTCAGGTTAAGAACTTTGCTTCAGGATGAGAACAGAAATTGTGCTCCAGCGGCACGGCGGCAGTAGGAGGCCCCCATTAGCTAAAGTGGTGCTTCAGGTTAAGAACAGTTTCAGGTTAAGTATGGACCTCCGGAACGAATTAAGTACTTAGCCCGAGGTACCACTGTAAAAGAAACACGAATAGTTACTCTTGTTCCTCTCCCCTGCTTCATGGCAAATGTTGTTAACTTGCAGTAGTGGCAGCCAACCACCAGAGGGCATAGCCCTTCAATTCATCTTGACAACGACTCCATAGATATACTCTGCATTTTTTACATGAAGGACTTGTGTTGACTCCAGAAAGTTTGGGGTCAGCTTATTTAAAGTTCCTTCCTGTAAAAAGCCCACTGCCTTGCCTTGTGTAAATTTAGAAACCACACACACACACACGCACGCACACAGAAGGGCCTGAAGTGCACCCAAGGATACCTTAACTTCAGTTAGTCACATCATTAAAAAAAATTTTTTTTTAAGATGCATTAAGAATTAAGAATGAAATGTCCTGAATTCAGCTATGATCAAGCCATAGATATTAGTGGTATGAATCCAGGGTCCTACAATAGTTTCTGATCTGGTTCAAGCTATATGGCTGGAAGAAGGATCTTCACAAGCTGGAATGTGTGCAGAGGAGAGCAGCCAAGGTGATCAAGGGTCTGGGTACCAAGCCTTATGAGGAACGGTTCAAGGAGCTGGGTATATTTACCCTGGAAAAGAGGAGATTTTAGAGGAGATATGATAGCCATCTTCAAATATCTCAAGGGCTGTCACATGGAAGATGGAGCAAACCTGTTTCTCCTACTCTGGACCAATGACTTGAACCAATGGCTTCAATTACAAGGAAGGAGATTCCCACTAAACATTCGGAAAACCTTTCTGACAGTAAGAGATGTTTTGACAGTGGAACAGTCTCCCTTGTGAGGTGGTAGACTCTCCTTCCTTGGAGGTTTTTAAGCAGAGGTTGGATGGCGGCCTGTCATGGATGCTTTAGCTGGAATTTCTGCAATGCAGGGGGTTGGACTAGATGACCCTTGCGGTCCCAACTCTACAATTCTGTGATTCTATGAACCTGTACCCATCTTTCGTTCAAGGAAGGGGATGGCAGAGCTTTGCACTAGGCTGGGGAGGGGTGGACTGTCCCTCTGGAGTTGTCCCTCTGCCCAGCCCTGCTGGCCGCCATGTGCAGAGTAATGCCAATCACTCTGCCAGGATGTGGTGCCCCCCCTTTTGCCTGCCAGATGTGAGGGTGAATTCAAGGGGGATGAGGTGTTCTGAGGGTGGGGAAGGAAAGGGGTGCAGCTGGCCCTGGTTCTGTTGCATCCTGAGCCAGCCCCATGGCCATCCCATGGCGGCACTGGGCCCATCCTGCCTCCTCCACGCTTCCCCCGCTAACGTGCGTGCTCCGCAGGGCTGCAGATGCAGCAGTGTTCCTGCTGCTCTGTTAAATCCTGCATGGCAACACCTGGGCTTGGGATTATTGTTTATTGCAAATTAATTTAAAGAGAAAAGAATGAGGGAAAACACAAAGAGGGTGGGCAAAGACGAATCAGCTCACATTAAGAATACATTAGCTCTGTATGCAGGTGATTTAATAGTAGACTTGAAACTCTCCTCTGGGATTAGGCCTCACAGAGGCGCATCTGAGGGGGAGGGTTTTCCACAAAGTCCTGGGAGTCATGTGCTGCACTAGGGGTACCCTCTGATCCACCAATTATCCTCCGCCTACTCCCCAAGGCCAGTGCTGCAGCTGCGGCTTCCGGGGGTTTTAACCGGAGGACCAGCATTTAAGGGTTCTACTGCTCCCTAACTCTCAGCAGAGGGGCAAGTAACAACACCTTCTGGTGAGCCAGTGTGGTGTAGTGGTTAACAACAGTGGCCTCATAATCTGATGAACCAGGTTCGTGTCTCCACTCCTCCACATGCAGCTGCTGGGTGACCTTGGGCTAATCACACTTCTCTGAAGTCTCTCAGCCCCACTCACCTCCCAGAGCGTTTGTTGTGAGGGAGGAAGGGAAAGGAGAATGTTAGCCACTTTGAGACTCCTAGGGGAGTGAAAGGTGGGATATCAAGTCCAAACTTCTTCTTCTTCTTCTTCTTCTTCTTCTTCTTCTTCTTCTTCTTCTTCTTCTTCTTCTTCTTCTTCTTCTTCTTCTTGCCACGTGGCCACCACCCCCTTTTTCTGCCCACGTGCAGGAGTCAGGAAGGGTAAGTACATAGCTACTCTATTCTTATGGCCTAATTGCCTTGGCTTAATGAATCCTGTCCCTGTGCTAAGGGCATACTGTGTTGGAGGCAAGCATGCATGATGGGTCATATGAAATTTAATTTAGATGGGTTGATATATGGATTTAGGTTCATCAGTTTGCCTTAGAAAGCATGTATAAGTTATTATGTTAAGCTATTATGTTAAAAAAAGAAGCAAGCCTGTCCTGTAACTTAGAGTTAATAAGGTGCTCAAAGACAGGGTCTTTAACGTCCCACCTGGCAGTGGAGTCCTTTGCTGCCCTTTCTCTAAATGCTTTGTCATATTCTAGGCTTCACCAGCCATTGATTTAGCGTTTAAGATAATCTGCTGGTAGTTGAACAAATGCCAGCCCTGGTTGGGGCAAACTGCTGAGACCACACCAGCATAAACTGAAAATGCCTCCGTATATTTAGAAAAAATGCACTCAGTTGTGACTTTTTTCTTGTCCTTTCTGCGCTGCTTGTTAGGTGCTGACTTAGAGCTACGGGCAGCGGAGGGGAACATGAGAGTGAATAGATTGATGTATTCCTCATTTAGGATATGTTCCCATATTTTTCTACAGAGATTGAAACCAGGGGGCTGGTCAGTATCAAATAACACCGGAGTCTGATCAGCATTGCAGATTTGAGAAAGTGAGTATGACGTTTCCTGTCACATGCGCAAGACAAATCGAGGAAAGCTTTCAAGCTTGTCAGGGAAATCACGTGGCAACTTTTGGCATATTGTGCTTCTCCTTGCATTAAACTGAGTTGTGGGAACGTTGTGTTTGCATGCTACCTCCTGTGCCTTTATTTGCAACATCTCATACAATACGCTGCAGCCGTTGTTTCGCATTTCATTCACATACCCAAACAGTTCCATTGATTTGTGGAAACTTGCCAGTTTTAGAACCTCTAAACACATGTCTAGAAAGGTTTATGTTTTTTAGCTTGTCTTTCACTTCCTGCCATTCTCACACCAACATTACACTCACTGAAAACTGCCTTTCTGCAGCTCTGTTACCATGCTGTTCAGCAAAACTGTTCGCTTCCAGCTTGAAGCCCACAGAATACTTTTTATATTTACCCATAATCACAAAGAAAGCAGAATCAGATACAGAATGCTGGTTCTGTAAGAATGACACGCGTTAATGTATCAGTGTACAGTTTAGCTGTCATGGGAAGATACAAGTCTCACGTGCTTTGCTCGTGAGATCCAAGTCTCTTGTGCCACATTCATGGCAGTTTCGCCTGCCCACCCGCTCCCCTTGAGCCTTCGGCTGGCACTGAGAATGTGTGATGAGAATGCCATGTGACTATTATGCAGTGAATACTTTGGGACCGATTTTAGGGACTGAAAAAAGGGGTGCGACTATTATGCAGTGAAATACAGCAAAATAAATTTAAACAGGTTGATCATGGAAATCTCCAGGGAATTGTAAAGATGGGCATCACTTAAACTTACTATTTGTGGTAAGGTCAATCTGCTTACCCCTTCATGGATCACTGCCTTGTCGTGGCGAAGGCGCTTGAATAGCTATGAGCTTTGCCGTGCAGGGCCACCCAAGACGGACAGGTCATAGCCAGGAGTTTAGACTAAATGTGATCCACCTGGAGAAGGAACTGGCAAACCACTCCAGTATTTTGCCAAGAAAACTCCACGGACATAAAAAAGGAGAAGCTTTGAGAAGAAAGTGAGAGTTTCCAAGGCATGCTCTGGTTCATGGGGTCATGGAGAGTCGAACACGACTAAGACGACTAAACAACAACAGCAATATGCTTGAGATAAAATTTCTGCCACAAACAATATTTACGCTACATGGTATTTGTCTATGTATTCTCCAGCTGTATTCTCAAAAGTTCAGTGTGATATATTTCAGAAATTTATGTTGGGTAATTCTTCATCTCATTTATCTACCAAATGCAGTTCTCTAGACAGGATGGAGGATTTAACTTACCAGACATTAGACCTTATCATAAGGCGTATCTGTTAGCACAGGACTGGGGGACCCTTTCTGGTCTTAATCTCCCCCACCCCACCCCACCTTCAAAAGAGGGGAGTCAGCAACATCCACCACATGGGCTGCCTCAGCCCTAAGGCAACAGTTTCTCTTAGTAAACAATTTAAACAGCTGAGGTGGGGAAATGGATAGGGAAATTGTATAGGATATTTGGAAAAGCTTTCCCAAATAAAAATAATATTGGCATATTCATCCTGGCCACCTTCTCTCAGTTTCTCATTTTCCCAATCTTTAAGTCATCAGTCAGCGCTGGCTTTCTTCTTCTTGCCTCAGTTCTTTCCCACTTTGTCTTGTGTCCATTAGATTATGAGTCTGTGGAGACGAACTGTCTTAGAATTGATTTTATCTCTAATGTACGAATCGCCCTTAGACATTTTAAAGCCCTTTATGTGAATAGTAGCAGTAGATTCCCTTCTTTTCTAAAGCCATTTTAAAACTTCTAATGAAAGAAGGGTTCCATAGTTGGAAGAAGTCTATCTTTTTGCTTTTCTATGACTTGTCTCCAGATAAACTTTGGAAAGCTTATATTTTAAATTCTATGAATAAGAAAAAGGATCAGCTGTTCTGTATCATAACTTTTTTTTAAAAACCGACTCTTGCAGAGTTATTGTAGGCAGGATAAACAATTGGAGGCAAAGCACACAGGAAGAGATTAGCTGTCCTGTAAATCCACTACTTCTCACCTGGATGCCTGATATAGCCAAACTCATGTTGAAAGCAACATTTCTAACCTGAACACAACAGTGAATGCATGTACAGTGCAAGGTAACTAGGAAGTTAAGTTCTACCTGTAATGCTGTATTGTTTTAAACACTCGATTGGAAGCCGTCCAGACTGGCTGGGGAAACTCAGCCAGATGGGCGGGGTATAAATAATAAATTATTATTATTATTATTATTACCTCTGCTCAGTGTGACTATGGCTTCATCTGCACTATATTTTTAAAGCACGATGATACCACTTTAAACACTCATGGTTCTCCCCAAATAACCCCTCAGAGAGCTACAAATTTCAGCATCTAGCAAGAGCATTTTATACAGTGCTGATAGTAAATCAAGTAAAGCTTTGCATGTTGTGATTATGTCTTTAATATAATTTATAACCTACAAAGAAGTCACAGCAAGAGGGAGGTCACAGCAACATCCTTCTTCCTCGTTCTTTTCTGAAAAAAGAAAAGAAAAAAGAAGAGCCTAGCACTGCTGGAGGATGAGCAAATGAGTGAGCAATTGGCAGTGCTGGGAGCCGTCTAGTGGTGGCCTCGCCACATGCTGCTGTAGCAGCTGTTGGAACCCTTTGCTGCGACAGTCACCCGGAGGCTTCTGACCATATGGAGAGTTTTCATGCATTTCTGTGCAACAACCCATCCAGATTTCAAACAGAAAGTGTGTGACAACACATTCATTTGTCCATGGCCTTTGAAGCACAAATCTAAATGCGTCCCAGTAGCTGTGTTTGGCAACCTATTATAATTTTGATGATAACCCTCCAGAATGATTGTCAAGAAGTTGGAAGGCTGCAGTAAATGAATTCTGAGTTGCAGTTTGACCTGGTAGGTACCAGTCTGGAAAGGGGTGGGGGACCTTTTCTGACCTTCTGGGCTACATGTGAGTGGTGGTGGGAACAGATGCAAAAGTAGGAGGAGCAACTGATATAACAACAACAACAACAACAAAATAATAATAATAATAATAATAATAATAATAATAATAATAATAATAGTAATAATAATAATAATAATTTATTTGTACCCCGCCCACCTGGCTGGGTTTCCCCACTCTGGGTGGCTTCCAACAAAGACCAAAAATACACTAAAATGTCACACATTAAAAACTTCCCTGAATAACTCCTACCTCTGTACAGTGAGCTAGTTTCTTCACACTCATCACCATCATCACCATCATCCTGTTACACATATTCATTTTTGCAACAAATGAAAATTTTGGGCAAAATTTTGGGCCATTATTTGGTCCAATTTTTCATTGGGTACAAAAACAAAAGCACACCCCTTTCAGTTGTGCTGTTCTTTCTTGGGATGGTGTCTGCAGTCTTTCAGTCCGTTTTTGCCATTCCACTTGGCTTGGTCCAGTGGCTCTAAAAATAGGTCAAAATACAAAACAACCCCTTGAATTAAGGAGAGGAACATCTCAAGATAATATTAGCACTTCTCCGAGTTTGGAAGTGAAGTCTGATGCCCAGTGTTAAGGAATGAGAACTCCTATTTTGAGAACAGTAGTTTGGCCTCATGCCTGGTCTGTGGGTTTGATTTAGAAATAAGGAAAAGTCCAGATGCCACAGCTGTGTATCTCTGCACTTCCTGGGCTGGAATTTATTCATATGATACTTTGCCTTTCTTCTCTTGCCTATGAAAGTTCATTCCCAAGCCAGATATGTAAGTCCTGAAGGAGCAGGGATGGGCAAATCTGAATTTCTCAGTTTCTCAGTCTTAAATCCAGTTCTTTTCATTTCCAGATCAGGTTGCATTTCCTCCCCCCAAAATTCCTCCTAAAATTCATCAGCATTTTAGTGTGATTTTCTCCTAACATACACATTTTTGCAAAGTATTTTCCCTCTTTAAATGCATTTGTGTGTGTTATTTTCACCAATATATGCCTTTTTATACGCATTTTATCTTAGTGTACACATTACTTGGCTGGAGAACTGCATTGCAAAATTTAGAGAAGTATGAATTTTGAACAATCACTGCATTTCAGTTCACATATTGTTTCAGAAAATGTGAATTAGGTAGAGTCACTTTTTGGTGAGAAATGAATTTTATTTCTCCCCATGCCTATGCAGGGCTCACAGGCTCTGGGTTGTTTTTTCTGCAAGACACTAGAATGGCTACTTTTTAAAAAATGCATTTTATATGAAAGTTTTCCCAGTGACTGGCATTGGCACTGAAGTTGGCAGGGTGACCAGTATGGTTGGTATTCTACTGTGTGATCTTTGGGGCTTCCATGTAAGGTAAAAGGTAAAGGACCTCTATATGGCTAAGTCCAGTCAAAGGTGTCTATGGGGTGCAGCGCTCATCCCGCTTTTCAGGTCGAGGGAGCCAGCGTTTGTCCACAGACCGCTTTCCAAGTCAGGTGGGCAGCATGACTAAACCATTACCGGCAGATGGAGGACCATGATGAGTGCCAGAATGCACGGAAACACTGTTTACCTTCCCGCTGCAATGGTACCTGTTTATCTACTCACACTGGTATGCTTTCAAACTGCTAGGTTGGCAGAAGCTAGGACAGAGCAACGGGAGCTCACCCCGTTGTGAAGATTCAAACTGCCAACCTTCCAATTGGCAAGCCTAAGAGGCTCAGTGGTTTAGATCACAGCGCCACCCGTATCCCATGTATCATGCTATGCAAGCCTTGATGATCAGCTGATCCTTGGGGCTTGTATAGTGTCATGCAGCTGATAAGTGGGCAACCCCACCCACCTGTCTTGACGACCATCAGCAGGTGCAGGGAGATAAGGCTCTGGCCTGCCAGCCAAATCCAGTTCCCTCACCCCTATTTAACAGTGATAGAAAACTCAAATCAGGTACCCTAAGACTCACCTAGATTGTGCAAAGGCTTTTTCAGGCATTCATCTCAGATAGGCTGGTGTCAAAACAAGAGTATGCACACAAGGATCCTG